TTAAGTTCAAAATATTATAAAATACGTTTTAGTTGGTCTGGAATGTTGTAATATTCATTTTGAGTGGCTCATAGTATTAGAATATTCTTTTAATATTAGAATAATTACAATAATCATAATATTAGAACAATTATAATAGTTAAAATAATTATATTAAAATTATTCTAATATAATAATCATAGTATTATAATAGTTATAATAATTATATTAAAATTATTCTAATATTACTAATATAATAATCATAATATTATAATAGTTATAATAGCTATATTAAAATTATTCTAATATGACTAATATAATGATCATAATATTAGAATATAAAAATTGCAATATTCATAATATTAGAATATTTTGTTCCGTTCTGTTCTGTTCAAAAAATGAAAATATTTTTTGGAAAAATTTAAATTTCATCAAAACTGAAAAATGTTTTCAGGCTATTATTTTAAAAATAATTTTATTTTTGCTTAAATAATGTAAATAAAATGGAAGAAACTATTTTTGTAAAAAGGAGTTTCAATATTTTTAAAAGTGAAATCGAATTTAAATAAAATTAATGATTACATTAATGATAACGATTAATTTATATATCAATGGACAATTCATATTTCAATGGAAACAACTCTTTTTCAAAAAAGAAATATCAAATGCTAAAAAGTTCATAATAAAGTCTACTCTAAATAATATTAATAATTTCTAAGGTATATAAAACGTAATATTTAAACAAGTTTACAATTAGAAAGAAAAATAAATTTAAGGAATTTAATTTAGAATTTAAAACAAAACGTTCATTGATTTACGCAAAAAAATATAGTTGTAACTAGTTTTACCATCGCAATTAAAATGTCATATTATAATTAAATTTTACAAACATAATTAAATGAAAAAAATGAAATATTATTTATAATTACAATTAGAAAACAAATGTTACATCCACAACTACAAATAGCGTAACAAATAATACTGTTAAGAAAGAATACAAAAAGCAACTTTTAAATAATATAAGTAGATTTCAAAATTCTGTATAAATAGTACAAAAATAATTACTTAAAAAGTAGAAGTGAAGAACTTTTAAGCTAAATTTCATTTGTTTAACTTTAAATTCTCACAATTCTTAACTATTAAAATTAGAAAAATTTGAGTGAGGACGCCATATTTTAAACAAAATGAAAGTCAAAGCACGGAAATAATCTATTCTTATTTCCTTCAAGTTACACTATTGGTGTTAAATTGCTCGTTTATTAAAATTACATTTTGGTAAAAAATTTTTTAAACGAAATAAAAGTTTCCAGTCAAAAATTAGAAAATGGTTTGGAAATAAATTATTTATAGAATAGTTTTTCGCAAAGTTATCTTTTTTTGTCATTATTAGCTATGGTTATAATTAAAAGTTTAGTATTAAAGTTAAGTACTGCAATAAAAATAAAGTAATTCAGGTAAAGTAAGTAGTTTTATTGAAGTAAGGAAACTGTACTATAATTTTAATAACGTCAAGGAATTGAAACTAAAGTAATTTTATTTAAATAACGAAATTAAAGTTAAAGCAACTAATTTTGATAAAGCAAAGAAAAAGGTAAAGTAACTAATTTTAATAAAGTAAAGAAACTAAAATTGAGTTAGCAAAATAAAATATGAACGTTATTAAGACAAAATTTCATTTATTATACAATTTATGCATTATTGCTGTAAGATAATTTATTTAAAGCAATTGTATTTTGATGTATGAAATATTACTCATAATAAAGTATTCAACTAAAGCATTGTTTTTAATATAAGCATTTTGTCAATTAGTTCGCCTAATTTTTTTGTTTTAATTTTTTACTAAACTGAAATACATTAGAATACTTTAAAATTACTGTTTAAAAGTACTCGAGACTGTTTAAAAGTACTTTTACGGTTTCAAATTTACTCGAGAATACATGGCAGTTAATTATTGTAAAAATAATTGTTTTTAAGTTGTGTAAATTCTGTTCTTATGCAATATTTCTTATGCAAAATTTTAATCTAAATATTATTTTATCAGTATTAACTTCCATTCTCGCGTTCTATTTATTTAACAACATTAATCTCGTATATTGCCTTATTCATTAACCTTCAATTATTTAAGATTTTCTAATCAATATTATCTTTTTTAGTTGAAAATAAATGTGATAAAATTAAACTCAACTTTTTTAAATTTTTAAGAAAATAACAAATAATTTTTTCTGAAATCTCCAGTCGGGTCATAATTTCGAAGGAAGTGAAGCAATATGAAAATTCTAAAAATTCACAAATCCCTCCCTTCGAAAGAATAATGTCTCTCAACATTTTAAAATTTATTCAGAGACGAAAAGCATAATTCATACATTACATACTCAATCAATAAATTATATTTCTCGAGAACTTATATATAAATTGCTGCAATAAATTGTTCATTTTGTGGCAGAAATGACACATCCAATATGTCAAATTTACGGAAAGCAAACGTGACAGTTGTATTATGGAAGCGATTTATTTTTTTATACCTCGATCACATAATATATTCCACATACAATGTCTCCATTGTTTACCTATTTCAAGAGCGTGGGTGGATGTGTTTCCATAGCAACTGGGCGGAGCTCATATGCAACTCCACCCTTTTGTCATTTCAGCAAAGAAGAATCCGTTGTGATAACTTCATAACTGTTTGTTTCAACAAAAAAAGTCATAAAACAATTGGAGACAATTTATGTTATTTTAAATGCACATATATCGTATAATATATCATTTTAATACAAAAAATAATATGTGTTAGTGAAATAAAATATTATCGAATCGCATACTTAAAAAAGCTATCTCAGAATATTTTTAAAGAGAAATTAATTATCAAATTTCAAATAATTGAAAATAAAGTCAGAATTTCATGTAATTAACGGAAAAATATAAATACTTTAAAAACCGCATATTTCGATTCATTTTTAAACTAGAATTATCTTTTATTTATTTATTTTTTGATTTTTAATTTTTTTTTATATCAGAAATGTTATTGTTATACAGAACAGTAATTTTAACAGAATTTTTTCCCCGTGTACTCTAAATTCTGCAAATTTTCTTTAACTCGAAAACTAAAATTTGATTTATATTATTTAAAAAAATTTTAAATTAACTTCTTTGTTATCCCCTAAAAAAAAGGGAACTTTAGGTACATTTCGGGATACTTAGAATTTTTTTTTTCAATTTTACTAAATTTTGTTTTTCACCACAATGACAGCTTTTTACTAGCTTTATATTCATTTATTTGTGGTTAATTTGTTTGTTTGTGGTTATTTTAAATGAATAAATATAGTATAATATGCATATCATTCTAGTACACAAAATATGTTTCAGTAAAATAAAATATTATTGAATCACATACTTGAAAAAGTATCTTAGAATATTTTTAATGAGAAATTAATTATCAAATTACGCACATTAAAAATAAGATTCGTGTTAATGAAATAATTTTTTACGAAGTTAAGCATCCAAAAATTATTTGGTTAAATTGTACTTGTTCTCAATACTGACGGTGCATTCGTAGAATATTTACCAAAATACATAATAGACACAATTTGTAAAAGTAAAATGCCGTATAAAATATATTAATTTATAATCTTGTGATTTGCTTAAATATTGCATTGCGTACTTGTAATTCATTGAATGCGTATCGTATAAAACTATATTTGCTTGTTTATTGCAGATAAAAGTGAAGATATACCTTAACATTAAGGCAACGATAAAATAAATAAATAAAATCTTACATTTTTGTTGAAAAAGTTGCTTTTCTCTCGTTATCTTGACGTCTAAAAAAATGCACAAAAAATGCACACAAGAATGTAAGATTATTTATCTTAACAAACAAAAGCATGCTTTCATTTTTTGTGTGGTTCAAAATTTGTAATTGGAAATTGAATTATATGAACTGAATATTGAATTATATGAATTATTAAAAAAATGAGGATAATGACTTGCTGTGAAAAAGTTTATATTTTCAGTTTTACATGAATGGCTTTCACATAATTTAAATTTTTTTAAATTTAATTTCCGCTTCTGAACTTGGGCAAAATGCGACAAAAAATTTTGCAAAGCACGCGAAGAAATAGTACAGAGGAATTTTGAATATGTATATTACATATTACGAGAATACATTCCGGTTTCACATGTTACGAATCAAGTAAATACACAGAAAGTTAATAAAAACAATTTTTATGCTCATCAAAACCCATAAAGAGCTTAATTTTCTCAAAATTATTTCTCGAAATGTCTTTATGCATCTCAGAAAGACATTTCGAGAAATAATTTTCTTTATGCATGTCAGAAAGAAAAGCTTCCAAGCATGGTAAATAAGAATTTGCTTTTTTTTCCTAAATTAGTAAAGAAAGTGACAAAACTCCTGAACATTCTCATAAGCTAACTGATATTAAAATACGCGCTCACTACCGTACTGTATGGTAATGACATTTCTGATAAAATAAAAAAAAACATGACATAATTCTGGCTAATAAAAACTAAAATATACGGTATTTAAACCATTCGTTTGGTAATTTTTCCGTTATTATGGAACAGTTTACTGAAAATCCGTCCTTATTACATAACAGTTAGTTAAAATACAAAACTGCAAAGTAAATTTAACCGAATAAATCATTTTTATGCCATGCTCTAAAATATGAAAAATTTACCAAATATTACAACTCTTACCTCATTTTATCCTACAATGTAAAACTTTGTTTTATAGTTTTCGCAAAAAAAAAAAAAAAAAAAAAAAAAAAAAAAAAAAAAAAAAAAAAAAANAAAAAAAAAAAAAAAAAATACCGTGCGTTTTGGTGTTCTGATAGAGCCGAAAATACGGTAAACTTTACTATATTCTTATAGCTTTGACCATACTTTTTTCTTAGTGTGTATCAATGTCTATAATTTGTGTCTATTTTTTATATAAGTCCTAATAATTTATATCGATGGAAGCAATTGAATAAGCTCAATTAATCGTAATGTTTTGTTTTCCTTTGAAGTCTGTCATTCAGATGCCGGGTTTCCGCAGTCTGGGTGATGAGGAAGAAGTGGAATTCGACTGCAAAGTATCAGATAAAGGACTCGAGGCCACCATTGTCACCGGACCTGAAAAACAGGACTGCAAAGGATCACACAGAAGGCCGATGTCTAAAAAAAGATTCAGAAAAATCAGGTACACTATTTCGTGGACTATTTTTTAAAGACTATTATGTGACGTTATTACAAATGTTACGAATGCGTGACGTTATTAAAAATGTTAAGAATGTGTGACGTTATTACAAATGTTACGAATGTGTGACATTATTGAAAATGTTACGGATGTGTGACGTTATTACAAATGCTACGAATGTGTGACGTTATTACAAATGTTACGAATGTGTGACGTTATTATCAAATGCTACGAATGTGTGACGTTATTACAAATGTTACGAATGTGCGACGTTATTACAAATGTTACGAATGTGTGACGTTATTACGAAAGATTATACCCTGTACGAAAGATTTAGATCATGCATTACTAAAAATACATAAACATTCCAAACAAACGCAGCAGCAACTTAATCTTAAATTCATTTATCTGAATTCATTAATCAATCACTAATCTTGAATTCATTAATCTGAATTTAATTTCATTTTATCTGAAATTTTTTTTCCTACTATCTTCATTTGTATTTCAAACAATAAAAAAAAAATCATTCTTAAATAATTAGTCTGTTTTGCAAAAATGTGAATTTCTATAATTTGCAAATATATCTATTGTTTTACAAATTTAGTAGTAACGAGGTCAATACAATTATTTACTTTGCTGTTATATTAAATTTTGCTGTTGCAATACTTTGCTGTTCCAATTTGGGTCTGCAAATTTTCCTTTTACAATCATTTCATGCGCTGCATCTATGATGACATTAAATTTTCGATTGTTTCAGGCATTCTGGGCTGAGATTAAATTTTCAATTTATAATCGTTTCATGAGTTACAATTGTGATGATATTAAATTTTCAATTGTTTCGAGTGCAACAGGTGCATTAGAATTAATTATCAAACAGTGGGGAAAAAAGTGAACTTCTTGAGTTACTTTTGATCAAGAGATCAGATTTTGACGTACGAAAACTCAATCTAAATGGTTTACGGTTACATCATTTTAAAGTATTTTGTAATCTTAAATAACAAAATACAAAATTTCAACTATATCGGTCTATTTTAACTATATAACTATTTTAACTATATGAAGAGTTTCTGAGTTACCCAATTTAATATATATATATATATCTCCACCCTTTTGTCATTTCAGCNAAATATTACAGGAAGTAATTTTATGTGACAACATGCAAAATTTGATCAACATCGATCTAATAGTTCTTGAGAAATCAAATATGATATATATATATATATATATATATATATCATATTTGATTTCTCAAGAACTATTAGATCGATGTTGATCAAATTTTGCATGTTGTCACATAAAATTACTTCCTGTAATATTTGTAAACCTTACTAACACATTTTATTTTACTATAATTAAATAAAATAATAATAAATATTTATTAAAAATTTTTTTTAATGGAATTATTTTAGTATAAACGAATTTTACAAGCCTGTGTAAGAATTTTTCGGTTGACTTAGGACGCACTCAAGTTATAGCGAAGTACTCAAAAAGTGAAATTAACATTAAGGGGTTCAAATTTGCGGTTGATCCCCTACTAAAACAATTAAAGCCTTATTTTTCAGATATCGGCTACCCCTTCCTTGTAAGTCATATTTCGAGGGTCAAAAATCCAAATACGTCGAAAAAAAGGTACGTTTTTTCAAAGAAAGTACGTTTTTATTTCTGATTTCTTTAAATTATCGTCTGCGGTAATTAATTTGCATATTTAAGGTTAGGCCCTCGAATTATCCAGATCGAGCCATTGACAGAAAAAGTAAAAATTCAATCAGAAAATTAAAAGTTATACACGGTGCTCTCTATGTGTAATTATTCATATGTTAGTCTGCGGTAATATTAAATTTTCAATCGTTTTACTGTGTTAATATTAAATTTTGTGCTTTCTATTGTTCGATGACTTGTAGAAAGATTAAATTTCGATTTTAAATTTGTTTCAGATGTTACAATTGCGGAGAATTCGCCAACCACATTGCAGCCAAATGCAGCCTGGGTCCTCAGCCGAAACGTTGCCACCACTGCAAATCTACCGATCATTTGATCGCCGATTGCCCCAACCGGAAATCCAAAGACAAGGAAGGCAAGGCTAATGGATCGTCATCCCAACCCGAATCTTCTTCTTCTTGTTCTCATTCCTGCACCCCGGAAGTAGAAGACGAGGAAGAAGAAGAAGAAATGGGTGAAGAGAATGGCAAAGACTAAGCTCAACACCCCTTCCTTCAACCAGTGCAAAAATAAAAACTCAAATAATTCTTCTAGTCCCTTTGAGGCATGGGTCGCCGTACTTTAAAAGTACCGAAACTGGCATAACAAACCCTACATTGATAGGCACAATGAACTCTTGCCTTTCAGAAAACTTGCCAGATCGATCCACTAGTTCAAGAAAACTTGAACAGATTTTTAAAACCGGTTTATTTCTTATTTTAATATGTAAATGTGAACAGATTTTTAAAGAGTAATTGAATTTGTTCGATATGAAATGTTTTATTTATAAATTCCTGTTGATGGTTTGTTTATTTATTTTTCCTTAAAAATAATTAATAGATGGCTACCCAAAGTGTCACTCGTATATTCAGGTGATTTTTTGTATGTAAATACTTTCTTTCATAAACACTGTGCATTGGTGCAGTTTTTTTTCTTTCTGTCCAATTTTGCTTAATCATTTATTGCTTCTAATTACTAAAATTAAGAAACACAGGACAAACGTATTAAAAGATTTCTGGTTAATTAACGACTGATTACTTAAAGTGTTGTTAGTGTCTGCGAGAGTACCAACTATTCAAAATCGAGTTCTTGGCAAAAAATTTGAAGCTGTTCGTCAAAAGAATTTGAGGATCGCTAAATGAAAAATTGAATCTCGCCAAATGAGAGATGTTCGCGAAAATATTTTGAAGCTGATTCAAAAGATTTTTTATGTTTTCAAGAGGCAAAATTAAATCGTTTTTGTGGAAAACTTAAGCTTAGTGCATTTAATTTCTTATTCTTTTTTTGCGACAAAATTGGAATTTTAATTTTTAATTGTTTCATCTGTTGTATCCGAACATCAAGAATAACAATTTCGTGCACTCTTTTTTTGTGAGTTTAGTCGTCCTGTGACGGCTGAACTAGTGTCTGGGTACTTTGCTGATTTATTAGCTAAAGACCAACTGCCAAATGGAAAATTGATAGTTCGAAGCGACCACCAAATCCGAATCGCTATTTTTACATAAAAATAAACAGTTCAGTCTGTTACCTTAGCGACCGCTTCAAACACGTCCAGCGTCGGGGGTTCATCTCGTGACTACAAGACAGTAGAGCAGCACTTTGCATATTACATTGAGAAATTTGAAAACAATCACGTCGTATACATCAGGCCACACTCACACACTGACGGGCGAAAGAAAAGGTAAATTCCAACGAAGAAAAAAAAAATACCCATGTCTGAAACGATGCTCGAGCCCATACCCATTGACTTAATATTCTAATTACTGCAAAAGTAGTTAAGTTAAAAGGAAATCTATACCCTATACTCTGTAGTATATATTCTATAGCCAATAATTTTAAGAATAGTTTCTAACCCTATTTATTCGAAGAACCGGGTAAATAATTTGGACAATTTACATAATTTTTACCAATACGAAATTGTGACAATAAAAGTTTTTTTTTTTTGACCAATTTGTTTCTTGCTATTCATTTACTCTCTATAATAAAAAGTATTTTGAGCCCAAACCTACTTTAATGTAAATAAAATTTATATAAATTCTAAATATTAATCCGTGGTTCAACACCAGTCCGGTTGAGAATCAAATGATCTATAGTAAGGGTCAATGTCAATACGAAATATTTTTTTCACTTTTTCCTTGTATTTATTTAAGAAAAATTAATGTGATTGTCGAGTGACACTTCGGGTACTTCGGTTGTAAGTCTTATTAGACTAAACATACGTCATATCGAGTGAAAAAGAAAATCAGACGCAATAACTAATTCATCATAATAATTAGGTGTTTTGAACCCTTTGAATTAGATGAAGTGGAAGATGTTAGTTGTTGAAATAATTCAAGAAAGGGTCTTTAAAGATCAAAGAGAAGAAATTTAAAATGCATTTTCACAATAAAAAATAGAGTTTTAGATGTTTTATCACACATTTTGAGTTTGTAAATGACTTTTTTTCCTCAGATTTTCTAGAGTTCTGGAAAACTAAATTCTACCTGTGAAATAAATGTATTTATATACTCGTATTTGTTGCTTAGTTATTTATTTTACTCTCTATCCCAATTCCTTTTAATACATACGAATTTATACAAATTTAAGCTCCGATAAAATTAAGTGATTAAACTGTTTGTTTTTTTTAAAAAATACATACCTATGGCATTTTTTTTAGTTTTCTGACATAGTAGCAAAACGTATTAAAAAAAATATCATAAACTTCAGGGTTTATCTTTAAATGTATTGAAAACCATAAGTGAAGATGAAAATAAAATTCTTTTCTATCAGAAAATACATTACTTTAAGAAGGTTAATAAAGGCTGTTAAAATATCAAGCCTTAAAATTGAAGAAATTATTTTGTTTCCTAGTAAATGAACACTTTTTTTTGAAAAAATGACATTTAAAGTTTACGAAGACTAATATAGATTATAAGATTAGATTATAAGACTATAAGACTTATAAGATTTTCTTTTTAAATAATGAAACTGTGCAAAACTAAGCATTGCAATATAAACTTAAGAAATCAATTTCACCGATTCATTCTTAAAATTAATAATTTTTTTTCATAGAAATATTTTTTTTATTGAAGTTATTCTGTTAAATGGTACCATATGTTTGCTCTTGAGCAATTGCTTTTTCAGATATTGCTGTCAAGGTTTATGTGTGAAAATTTAACCACATATAATACGATAAATTTTATGATATTGCGCAGTATGTAGATTTCAAATTTATACTAATGCATAATGCACTATAGTAGATTTTAAATGTAATTATTTTATTATTTTTTTTTCGAGAATCATTCTATAAGATTTTTATGTATAATGCATTATAGAAGATTTTAAATGTAATTATTTTTCTTTGAGACTCATTCTATAAGATTTTAATGTATAGTGCACCATAGAAGATTTTAAATGTAATTATTTTTTTTCGAGAGTCATTATATAACATTTTAATGCATAATACACTATAGAAGATTTTAAATGTTATTTTTTTTTTCGAGACTCATTCTATAAGATTTTAATGTATAATGCACTATAGAAGATTTTAAATTTAATTTTTTTTTAAAAATTTGGTGTTTTACAATTTAGATTTGGGTTTTTAGAATAACAGTCGAATAACAAAATTATCAAGGTTTGAAGGCGCTAATCTATGAGCTTTAAATGGAACACTTTAGAAATCAATTTTTCGAATTTCTACTATGAACTGAGTAGTTTCTAGTAATAATCCAATCACATGAGAGTCATATTACAAAAATAGGAACACATAATTTGCATTGATTTTTATTTAAAAATTTTTTATTTTATTTCTTTTAAAAAAGACTTACACTACATGGAACCTAACATTAATTTTACACATTGAATTTCAGAATTTTTTTGCATAAATATCTTTTATGAGACTTCTAAAAAGCATTGTTATACATCATTGATTTGAGTAGAAAATGTTTCGGAAAATGACATTTGAATAACTGACATTTTTATTTATAACATGACTAAATTTTGTCCATTAAAAAGGACACTTTAGAAAGGAATTTTGCAAATTTAGACATCAATAACTAAAGTTATGACAAAAATAATTTCAAAGAAAATGTTTTGTGTAATAGAACCATGCATTTTCATTTGAATGTTCGAAAAATATCAGTTTCAAAACTGTCTGGAAAAAAAAATTCAACGTTACAAGGAACACTTTAAGAAGTGATTTTAAAGCTTTGCACCAGTGGTCGGAAAAACTACATTATTTTTGTAGTTTACTACAACAACTTTGTAACAAATTTAATTAACTACAACTACTTTTTTTTAAATGTCGCGCATACATACTACTTTGGAATTTAGTAGCTACTTCACTACTTTTAGGAGATGAATAATGTATGGGAATAATTAAGAAATATTTGTTCATGTTTACATAAAGCAGTTTGTTATTCCAAAACATGTTTTTTCGCATTTATTCATTTGACTTCTCTTCAACTTTTTATGTCCTTTTCGACAGCGAATATTTATACCAATACTTTTTAAATGTTTAATGCTCTTTTTCCTCTAAGAATTTAAGTACATCGAAAATGTTCATGAGTGTACATTCATGGAATGCTTCACGGTTGAACATTCGCAAGTGAAAATGAGATTAAAGTGATTGATTATCTATTTTTCGCTATGGCTAGTCTAAATGTTAGTTATGCCCGATTATAAATGTTTATAAATAAGTAATTCTAGTTAAAGCTTAGCTGCTGCCACAGGGCAGTTTTCATTGCCATTTTCATTGACTAGCGAAGATTTGTACCCATCAAATTCGAAAAATTAGTTGCGCTCGAGTTTTACTTAACGAACGTTAAAAGTAGTTGCCTGGAATCACTACAAACTACTGTTTTTTTGTATCACACTACTCAATACAATGCTTTCTTAAAAGTAGCACACTACACTACAAACTACGGAAAAAAGTAGCCACATCAGTAGTTTCACTACTTGTAGTGCACTACTTTCGACTACTGCCAAAACAAATTTTAATTTTCTTTTTCTTTTTTGCAAATTTATTTTTACTGAAAGTTATCCTATAGAACTGTGTCTTACATTTCGGATTTGACGCATGGAGTTTTAGAATTTGCGAAATGGAAACTATTTGATTGGACAAAACTATTTTTGAGAATTATTCTCCAAAACGGCTCTTTGCATTTAAGCATTAATTTTTGCCTGAAAAGGCAGTCAAATACAGAAATTTCAGATTCTATTCTGAGAATTTTAGTCTGACAAGGGACACGGTATAGATAAGTTTCTTTTTTAATATGCATCGCAAAAATTGTGATTTTTTGACAAAAATATTTATGTAGAACCGTGCTATGAACTTGGCATTAGAGACGAAAACTATATTCTAAAAGTTATAGTAGAATTTTAAAGAAAAAAACGCCTATAAATTTTAGAAAGTGTTTTAAAATTTATTTTACAAATTTACAACGCCTTATTTTATTTATTAAAACTATTTTTGGACATAAATAATTTTTATGAAAGTCATTCTGGCAGACTGTATTGAATTTATCTAATTTTTCATTATTTAATTTGTGAATTTTTCAAAGTTTTTCAAATACTGTTTTTAAATATTACAAATTATATTTTTTTCTTTTATTTAAAATCCTCTGATTTAATTTCTTTTATGTTTTTTGTGATCTTTTTTTGCTTCCTTTGTGTTATAATCCTATATTCCTATATCATGGGTCCTATGCACTTGCAACTTATGTGCAGTTAATAAATTCTACAAACATTATATATATATATATATAGAATAGATATATAGATAGAGATATATATAGAACATAAACTTTGACGCCCTCTAGCGGTTNTATATATACATCATTTGATGATTTTTATAGAATTTATTAACATTTATTGAAAAAAATTCTTTATTAAATATTAAAAGATTTTTAGTAACAGATTTGCTCGAATTTGATTTGCACATTGCCAAGTAGTTAAGAAAATTTTTTTGATAAATTTGTTAATAACTATAACATACAATTAACTCAATGATTTTATATAAAATTTGATTGTTTTCTTTTTAATCTATTTTTTTGTCAAATTTTGGAAAAGTTTGTCTATTTGTTTTTTGGATAAACAAACATTACTACAAATTCTTTTAATTCTATTCATTTGATTAAAAATGTCATTTAAATAAATATTTTTAAAAACATCAGAATTCCACGCAATTGGTTTATTTATATCAAATTTAAAATCAATCCTTTTATCGTATTAGTCAATAATGCAAATAATATTTCTTTCTTTTTAATAACTTGAATCCAAAAAATTAAAATTCATATTATCGTAATGACTACGGAGCAAGATTAATTCCCTAATTTAACCTTACAGTAAATATTATTTAAAAAAATTTTAAACAGTTTCCAAGCAGAATAATAATGAAATATTCTTAGAATTTTTATTTCTTTCATTGTCTTCGACAGTTACTTTTTGCTTTAATAATATTTTAATTTTTTTACATCGGTTATCAAAAGTCTCAATAGATGGCAGCATAAGAGCACAAAAAGTATTTCATTCCTTTTTTTCTTCCTTTTTTTTTACTTTCTTTTTTAATAAAAAGGAATAATTGTATAATTTTGAAATTTTCTTTTTTATTAATAAAAGAGCATAATTTGAAAAGCAAAAATTAGTCTTTTACAATACTCAACACGTACCAGCTCCAAAAACTAGAAATCTTACATTTATCTAAAAATTTGTCTAAATCATTAATGGATTGTGTTCGAAGAAGTGCTTAAAATGTATATTTAAAAGGCCATAAAATTTAAGAGATGCAAGACAAGAGAGTACATTTAAAGGCAATGAAATTTCTTGATATTCAATATAACATATCGATTGTTTAGGATCGTAGTACAAATCTTTCACTGAACAGATGCATTTGAGTTGGTTAAAAAAAGAGTAAAATAACGAGCTTGACTGATTTTCTATAATGTATAAATTGCCAGTAATAATATGTTTTTTTCTTATTTATTTATTTTTTATAAAGGTTATAAATTATCAAAAGTTTTTCAGATCACTTCAGAATATGTTTATCTGTTTGCAAATTTATCTATTTTTTTGTATTTTTTCTCTTAAGGAGATGGCAGCATCAACTTAATTTTTTCGATTACAGAGGATTGATTTCATTCTCACTTCAACGATTTCAAGAGTAGCCACTAGATGACAGCACCATATACTCTGTTATTACCTTGGACTGGAAATAAAGTGGATTCTATCAATATATTATTAAAAATTCAGACTAGGTTTTATTTAAAGATAATTTAGTTTTATATCAGTTTTAAACCATAAATTTCATTTCTTTCTTTTTCTTTCGAGCGGCCATCATCTATTTTTATTTTTCCCATGAAAGAAGATTGAGGCAATTTTTTTTCATGGCTAGAATCGCCACTAGATGTCGGCACTATATATTTAAACACTACTCTTGCCTGGGATTGAAAGGGATTCCATCGTAATCATGCAAGCAGAGGTTTTATTTGAAGATGATCTTATATTAATTAATAAATGATTCCTCGATAAAAAAAAA